TGACACTGGTGCACTGGACACGCTGTGCAGCTGGCTTGACAAAAATGGTAGGTCAATTTCACTTACGCAGGACTCCTATTCCTCCACAAGGTTTCAGAGCAGCCAATGACACCACGCATGACAGCTCTACAGCCAAGGTGGAACATCCAAGGTGCCCTGTTTTTGTCTGTCATGTCTGTAAGGCCTTGTTCACACAGGCATACTTAACCACTTCAGCGCTATAGGACATACCTGCATGTCCTCTGGCTGATTCAGGGATACTAGGTTCATGGGTGCATCTGCAGCCATGAACTGGCTAGCAGTTTTTTCAGCCAACAATGCTGCACACTGTAAAAGCAATGTGAGCAGCTAAATACTGCCGGATTGCTCTTACAGGTAGCAGAAGGGGGTCACCCCTGCAGCACCCTCTCGGGCTCTCCCATCCCACCAGAGACCTGGAGACTGGAGAAGTTCCACCAGGTGACCTGAGAGATACAAACACAAAGAGATAAGTGAGCGCTAAAAGTCACTATAGCAGCTAGAACACCAAAAGGCACCAAACCAACTTCCAAAAAGATCATATAAACGAAGGGTGCAGCGCTAAAGTTTATGACATGGGATATTGCATATAATGTAAACATATATATAAAGTAAATAAAATATGTGACTAATAGTGTCGCGCTGAGCGTGACCTCAAGCTGTCTGCCATGGCTCAAACTTTCCCTCAAATGGCTCCTCACGCTTGCGATCGTAAGTGCGGAGGAGAGAGGAGTGCAGCTTCCCACCATCTACAGAGCCATTTGAGGGAAAGTTTGAGCCATGGCAGACAGCTGACTGAGCAGTGGGGAGCGACAGACCAGACCAGGAGCTTTCAACGGTTCTACTAAGAGTGTTACTTCTTGAAATGCGCTCACTGATTGCGCATCTGGTGAGTGCGCAGTATTTATAAATTTGGATACACCATCACTTACTGGACACTGATACCAGTTATCGGAAATCCTTGAGATCTTCCATGCACCTTATGTATTGGGATTGATTCACGCTTAAGCTTTGGACTATACGTTTAATTTTATTTATATATGTACGTGTGGTCACGAATGAATAACGCATAATATTTTGCTTTGCACTTTATATGCACCTTGTGGTCACGCTCAGTGACATATTTGGTTTGACACTATTAAGTCACATGATTTGCACTTTATTATATATGTTTACATTATGTGCAATATCGCTTGTCATTAAACTTTAGCGCTGCACCCTTCGTTTATATGACCTGAGAGATAATCGAGGACCTGAACATCCCCAATCATCTCTATGGTCTATTAGACCCCAGATCTCTCCTCTGGCCTCCAAAGCAGCTGATCAGACACAGATCAGTCTGATCTGCTGCTTCACTGGCTGGAAACTGGCCAGTAGACACAAAGCTGAAACCGGAAGTGACAAAATGAATGACCACTAAATCTCTCCATAAAGAGGATCTTTCATGGCCCATGCTATCAGAAGGGATGTTGTTCATACCTTGTGATAGCAATAAAGTTGATACAAAAAAAATAAAAATAACCGGTACAATGTCAGGAAAAAAAAAAAAAGGGAAAAAAAAAAATTAAAGTGCCCCTATTCCCCTGTGCGCATGTGCAAATGCAAACGCGCATGGAAAGAAACACTTTAATAAAAACACAATATGATGCCCAGTTTTTTTTACAGTACTTAAAAATCTCTGTAGATGATGCTTTAAGAGCCTTTAAGGTTTCCAGTTTAGAGTTAAAAGTTGATAAAAAAATTTTTTTAAAGAGAATGTAAAAAGTTTTTCAAAATAAAGTAATACAATAAAAAAACAAATTGAAAGTGTTCCCATTCCCTGGTGCTTACGCACAAAGGCAAACGCATGTTCAAAGGGTGTTCCCACCACACACATGAGGTATCAGTAAAAACATATAGCAAGAGCAATAATTCTAGCACCAGACCTCCTGTGTAACTGAACTGGTTACCCTAAAGGCTCTTACAGCATCGCCTATGGAGATTTTTAAGTATTGTACCAAAAAAATTGGGCATCACCAATTGGGTATTATTTTTTGGATCAACTACTGCTATCACAAGGAATGAATAACATTCCTTGTGATAACATGGGCCATGCCAGATCCTCTTTATGGAGATATCTGGGGTCTATTAGACCCCAGATCTCTCCACTGGCCTGCAAAGCATCTGATCAAACTGAGATCAGTTTGATCAGGTGCTTTCAGAAGCTGGTAATGGCTTGTATACATGAGATTAAAATCGGAAGTGAAAAATCCTCTTTGCTTCCGGTTTCTGACACTGCACACTGGGAGAAACAACAACAGTTCCTCTCACTCTGTCCTGATGGGATGGGAGAGCCTGGTAAAGGCAGCAGGAAGAAGGGGGACCTCCTTCCGCTGCTTGTAAAAGTAATCCAGTGACTGTATAGCTGAAAAAAAAACAATACTGGCATCATGGCTTTAGCCTCAACCATGATCCTGGTATAGCCACTTCAGCCTTAGGTGGTTTATAAACGACCTAAGGACGGGCAGTGGTTAAGCATCCATGTGAAGGACCATGTTTGCCTACCCAGAATGCATAGGTCCATACACATGCAGACAGACCCATTCATGTCCATTAGGATGCAGCAGCTGCTTCCTATTTGACATCCATATGGATGAATGTCCCCAAATTCACACTGTTTTCAGGGACACACATCCCCACCCGCACAGATGTCAAATTGGGACTAACGGCTGCATCCCAACTGACATGAATGGGACTGCTCGAATACTGAAGCATAGAACACATGGGCATCCTGTGAGGGCAAAACACAGCCCTCATATGGGTGTACCCTAAATATGCCCTTATGAATGAGGCTTGAGTCTCTGTTGGGCAGATTCATAGAGGACAATGTGCAGCCAGCAACAGCTGTATGGCTAGAACTGTCCCTCAGTAGAGCAGAATGATCTGTGACATGGAGAGAAGTGCAGTGACATATGTGAGTTGAAAATAGATATAAAAAGAGTGTGCAACAGGATCAGGCCATTGTTTGTCCCCATCATAATTTACATGCAGTTATACTGTAGATTACAGGAAATAAAATTGTAAATAGAAGTTCAGTTTGTAAATTATAATTTTGGTTTTTGATGGTATTTGTCATGAAGAGATTTGGGCTGGTCATAAATTTATGTATCTTGATTTTTATGGATGATGCAGCAATGTTATTGTCCAATGCTGGTTACACCAATGAGGAATCAACCAGCTTTCCATCACAATAATATTTAGAATCTCTTTACTACAAACAGTTCAGATTGTTTCAGTAGAAATCAGTGGTGGTAGAATGCCTTGGGTCATTTGGTCATTTAGCTGAATGAGATTTCTGTGTATCTGGCCAGAAAAAGGGTGACCAGAATCACCTCATTCTCCCTCCCCCCCTCTATGATTTGACAGTCCATGGTGTCACTTGGCCCCTAGTTAGGCCATTTAGGGCTATTATAAACACTGATAAAGGCAACTTCCAACATCGAACACATTCATGGTTGTTCACGGCCATTTTCCAACATGGTGGCAAATCTTGAAGGAATGGGGCAAGGCTTCCCTCGTAATTACAAGTGGGGAATATGGTGGTAACTGTGTGTGTCATTGAGACGTGTGGGGGTGATCTAAACCCTGCACTGCATAGGCAGATGCCTCTGTCCCTCTCTCTCATGGAGACATCTGCATCACACTCCACCCAAACCTGACCATGTAAATCTATTATCCGCTCTTCAAGAATTGCCAGATATCTGCATGCAAGTTCCCAGTGCCTCCTACTGCCATTCCTACTGTCATTCCTAGAAACCTGCTACAATTTCCTTTGATTTATACATTTCCTTTGATTGCAAAAAAAAACAAAAAAATGAAAGTCCTTTGCGTGAATTCATAGTGGCCACAAGTGAAACAACAAATAATCAATCCATCAAATGTATAACATGGATGGAAGGGCCTGGTCCAGTTTGCATTTACCTTTCTTCTCTAAGGAGGGTGATCTTTCCAGGTCCTGCTTGTACAGCTGAGCTTCTTGTCTCCGTGTTATCACTGCATGATGTCAGCTTAGGGATGTCTGTGATAATGTTTCCACTGTTAAGAAGTTGATAAAATGTTATATTGTTTTTGATATGGCAATGAAACAGAGAACAGTGTGAGCATACATTGTTTTGTTTTTTTTTAAACATAACTTTGTTTGCCATATGTGTCTTTTACAAAGGCCCTGTCACTTTGGTGTCAGAACCCATCAGTCAATAATATAGATAGAAGCTGATGAATTCTTATTAGCAGTTTGGAAGTCAGGGTGGCTACATATTGGTGCAAGCAGTGATGTTCCATATTTCAAGGTTTACTTGTGGTAATCATGGCTTTCTCTTTATGAGTGGATATGGTCTCCTTCTATGGGGAAGAATTAAAGTAGTATTAACCCCCCCCCCCACAAAAAAAAAGTATTATTAATTATTATTTTTGATGGCATTTGTGTTCTATTTAAGGCTTTTTTTCCCTCTATTTTCACCTGCCAGTAAATCTGTTATCTTAACTTCGTTTAATAGACCAAGCTGTTCAGACATTCACCACAGGGGTGCTTACAATACTAATAGTAAAAAACTGTTGCTTTAACTGCTTAAAAGTGTTAGCTGGAACTTAGTTTTAATTTGTTAGTCTACTCTATCCCATCTAAATCTACTAGTGCATCGAACACTACTCAGATTAACAATGCTGCTGTCCAGGGGTTGTTCCTCTATCCAGAGCAGAAACACCCTAAGGAATGGTGTTACCAACAGGTTCACTTGGAGAAGATAAAGGAAAAAGACCTAAAAAGTAAACTAATGTAACCACTACATTTAGGTATTGGTAAGCTGCAAAATATAACTTTTTTGTTTTTTTTAGCACTTGAAGGATCAAAAATACAGTGAATGACCCTCAAGGATCGCTGACGCTGACCATTCCACTGCATAGTATACCCCTGGAAGGTTGTAGAGATACTCAGCCTGGTAATCATTTCCAAGATGGTACACTATATTGCCAAAAGTATTGGGACACCCCTCCAAATCTTTGGATTCAGGTGTTCCAATCACCTCCATGGCCACAGGTGTATAAAATCAAGCACATAGGCATGCAGACTGCTTCTGCAAACATTTGTGAAAGAATGGGTCACTCTCAGGAGCTCAGTGAATTCAAGCATGGTAATAGGTTGCCACCTGTGCAATAAGTTCATCCGTGAAGTTTCCTTGCTACTAAATATTCTATGGTCAACTGTTAGTGGTATTATAACAAAATGGAAGCAATTGGGAACAACAGGACTCAGCCACGCAGTGGTAGGCCACGTAAAATGACAGTGTGGACTCAGCGCATGCTGAAGCGCACAGTGCACAGACGTTGCCAACTGTCTGCAGAGTCAATAGCTAAAGACCTCCAAACTTCATGTGGCCTTCAGATTATCATAACAACAGTGCATAGAGAGCTTCATTGAATGGGTTTCTATGGCTGAGCAGCTGCATCCAAGCCTTACATCACCAAGTGAAATGCAAAGCGTCGGATGCAGTGGTGTAAAGCACCCACCACTGGACCCTAGTGCAGTGGAGACGCGTTCACTGGAGTGATGAATCATGCTTCTCTGGCAATCTGATGGACGCCAAGAGAACGTTACATGACTGCGCACCAGTGCACAAAGCAAGGTCCATAAGGACATGGATGAGCGAGTTTGGGGTGGAGGAGCTTGACTGGTCTGCACAGAGCCCAGATCTCAACCCGAAAGAACACTTTTGGGATGAATTAGAGCAGGGACTGCGAGCCAAAACCTTCTCATCTGACATCAGTGTCTGAGCTCACAAATGTGCTTCTGGGAGAATGGTCAAACATTCCCATAGACTCTCCTAAACCTTGTGGACAAGCTTCCCAGAAGAGTTGAAGCTCTTATAGCTACAAAGGGCCAACTCAATATTGAACCTTACAGACTAAGTCTGGGATGCCAATAAAGTTCATGTGCGTGTAAAGGCAGGCGTCCCAATACTTTTGGCAATATTGTGTATCAGTCTATGGCCATTCAGATATCACTATTTTACACTTTTGTGTGAAACCCTGGCATCACCACACAAGCAAGGTCTGTCCTAGACTATAGTCTGCCCAGGGGGCACTTCATCTTGCTGTACAAAATCAGAACAGTGAGTGGGTTTTGGTACCTGCATGTGATGTCTAACCATATACCACATTGGCAACAAATGAAAACTTACAACCTTTGCTATCATAAGTACTTTCCCATCCACTGAATTATATTACCTGTCAACTGTGGTTGTAGTAGTCCTGGTGGTTGTTCTGTTCTCAGTAGATTTGGGTGTCACTTTGTCACTGCAAAAAAATGAAGTTTACAAATGTATCGGTGTTCTAGATTTACTGATAATGATAGATAGATTGCTTGATAAGGTCTTGCACTTTTATAAATGTCTGCTGGGATAACTATGGGCAGCACACCCCTGACCCCCCTACTCTCCTCTAGCTTGAGGTCTGACACCTTCCAATTTCTAGTTACTGATGGCAGCCTGTGAGGACATTCCATGCTTGGCTCCTGTTTGGGAATTACAACACATAAATCCTCCCTGAAATGTGGCAGTTAAAGGTTAAAGCTGAACTCCAAGCAAATAGCGAAGTACAAAGATGAAATGCATACATAAGGGCTGTTTAACCTGCTAAAATACTTGTATTTCTGTTCATCCAGCTCTGAGATTTACACTGCACTGAGGCCTGAATAGCCCATGAATAGGCGATGTGTTTTTTGCGGCTTGAGCTGTCAGGTGTTGCATGCAGGCAGCCCATTGAAGTCTATGGGAATGCAGTGCCTGCCTGGACACACCCACCCATCCCAATTTGACAAGTGTGCAAGTGAGTGGCCCTGAAAGCACACTGTCTGTGCAGGGTCGCTGATTTGCACCTGCACCACTGACAATTTGACACAAGGGGCTGTGTTTGGGCAGCTACTGTTTTCCCATAGACTTGAATGTCTTCAAGCAGCACCTAGCAGCTCAAGCCGCATAAGCATACAGCCACAGACTACTGGCCTCAGTTCCCATATAAATGAGGACTAAAGTATAATAAAAGCTAAAACGTTTTTTTTTTTCATTTTAAATAGGCTTGGGAAAGGTTTAAACACTTGCTAATATTTTTTTTGTCCCATTGAAGAGATTCTCCTTTACTTCTTGTCTTAAGACACAACAAGAAGCAAGAGCAAATTTCTGTTGGACCATTCTTTATAAACACAGTTGAGGCTTCTGAGGTTTTTCTGAGGGACAACAAAGCGTACAATGCAAATACTCTATGTGACCAACAAAATACCTTTCTTGTCTTAGAACCGTGATCTTTCCGGGTTCAGGTTTGATGGTGGAAGTCCTTGTCTCTGTATTCCAGGATGTCAGCTTGGGGCTCTCTGAAAGGTCTGATAAACTGAAATAAAATATCAAAATTATTTTTACCCTTTGATGTTTGTTCAAGGGTTTTTTTTTTTTTGCCCTAATGTATGCTACACTTTTCTGCCTTGGCGGGTATTGTTACTGTCTTTATGGCTATACTAATCGTCAAAAACTTAATAAAAATAATTTTACAAAAAAAAAAATATTTTTACCCTTAACATATGCCAGCCCCGAGGAAAAATTCCAACAGTCTTCTTTCTATGGTACATATTTGACACATTTAACAGACATGTAAAGACTAAAAAGCTCTTAGCTCTGCTGTTTATATAATAATTTATTGAAATAGGACTTAATGGATAAAGCCATATACACTCACCAGCCACTTTATTAGGTACACCTTGCTAGTGCCAAGAAAATATCCCCCACACCATTACACCTCCAGTCTGAACCCTTGATACAAAGCAAGATGGATTCATGCTTTCATATTTACACCAAATTCTGACCCTACCATCTGAATGTCGCAGCAACCAGTCTGCCTATTCTCACCAATGACATCAACAAGACATTTTCCTCCACACAAAACTGCTGCTCACTGGATATTTTCTCTTTTTTGGACCATTTTCTGTAAACCATAGAGATAATTGTGCATGAAAATCCCAGTAGATCAGCAATTTTTTAAATACTCAGACCAGGCCCTCTGGCACCAACAACCAATTCCCTTTCTTCCCCATTCTGATGCTCGGCCTGAACTTCAGCAAGTCATCTTCACCATGTCTACATGCCTAAATGCATCGAGTTTCTGTCATGTGTTTGGCTGATTAGCAATTTATGATAACAAGCAATTGAACAGTAATAAAGTGGCTGGTGAGTGTTTATCTGTTGAGTCTTTTGGATCCCTTAGGCCTCATGCACCCTGTGTATTTAGCTGTGTATGATGAGTCCGGGAGGCACAGGTGCAGCATCCAGCCCTGCTGCCTGTAGCTTGTCAAAGTCTATGACAGGCAGAAACATGCTGCAGCTGTACATCGCTGGACGCTGTATAGAGATGTTCTCACGTATAGGGCAGGGACGTATGTCCAGAACTCAGGTATTCTGCATTCAGGGTATAGTTTGCTGAATGCATATGGGCCTAAACACGAGTACCACTCAGTACACAGCCCAGCTGCAGCATGTCTCAGTCTATCATAAACCTTGACAGGCAGCGGGGCTGAACTCTGTACCTGTGCCTCCCAGGCACACAAAAAATGCCAGGATTTGATACACAGGGGCTAAACGCCAAGTGTGCACGAGGCCTTACTGTTGGATCATGTTCACGCGCCTCGTTTTTGCACTTTCTAAGCTACATCAGAAAGAAAGCAAGCCAGTCTGTATTCACTAATACAAGTAAAAAGGTGAAAAATACATGATTTGGTCTTAAAGGGATGCACCATGCATTGTAAATGAGATTGCCAAAAGGCCTATTCACATACCAGAAGCATTAGGCAGTGGGAAAGAGAGCTGGCTGCTGGGGTCTCACTTAATTCATCACCTACTTGGCTAAATGACCATGTAACCCTTGCAGTGTGTGGAAGCCCTCACTGCAAGGGGATTTTTTTTTTTGTTTTTGTATAGGTGGAGTTCAGCTTTAGGTGTATCTAAAGCCAAAACTTGTTTTTAGTTTTAGATAGAATAGAGAATAGTTAGAACCTCTGTCCCCTCTGGGAATAGTCACCCTCAATATTTGTCCTGGTGACTATTGTTACTGGGAAAGAAAGTTATAGGAAATCCAAAATGTCACAGCTGTCACCAGATCAGAAAGCGAAGGGAAATCTTCCAATGAGGACAACTAAGAGGGGATATTCACTTGCTTTCGAGAGATTTTTTTCTCAGTCCCTTTTGTGTTCCTGGGACAGGAAGTAAACATGAATTTCCCCAAAAAGACACAGACAGTTTTTCTATTCAAAACTAAACAAAACAAAGTATTTGCTTTAGATACTTTATTGATTGGGTAAAAGCGGTTTTATACCCCAAAAACAATTTATATATTTTAGCTTATCAATATTTATATGTTGTGGCTGCATTATTTTTCTTTTTTAAGATTTACAGGCAGGATTACCAGGTGAAAATAAAGGGAAAAAAGCCTAAAAAAAACCCATAGCATGCGCCACATCTAAGAACTGGTAAGCTGTATTATAATAAATATATGTTTTGGGGTTTAATACGGCTTTGTGAGAAAGGGTTAATTTAAATGTTTATGATAAGAGTTTGTGTTTGGAAAGGGTTAATCTGGTCATACACTGATTAATATTTGTACGGTTTAGCAAGGACTTGATGATTTTTGATCAGTGTGTGACAGTCCTTAGGGTGAAGTGCAAATTAAATGCATTATATCTGTTGTTCTTCGGATATAATAAAACAGAATGCCAAGGTGAGGCTTTTGATACAAACCGGGCAGGTAATGTCTGGGAAGTTGGCTGTATTGTTTGATTTGCTTTCCAAGTATTTTCAAACCTGTAACAATAGATATGTAATATATACATTTAGGTTATGGCACTTTAATGACAGTAATAAAAAGAATACCTCAATCAAATAAAAAAACTACTGTAAAATATTTTAGCACAAGCGTATAAAAGGTGGTGATGATGGATTGTCATATTTAGTACATAGACCTCTTAGAGCAGACATGAACCTGTTCTCATTTGTGCCTTCACCTTCTCTATTACAGAATCAGGACACATTTTATTATTCTTGGTAAAGTATAGTGTAGTTTTTCAGCTGCAAGGCAGCACTTGCTTTCTTGCCCAGGCAAGAATTACTGTATGCATGTAACACCTTTTGCCTCCTGGAATTGCCATGTCATACATTCATAGGAAGCAGTGTACTGAGGGCACATGAGCAGACATGAGACTCTGCTCTTCCAGGTATCCGGGACCTGGCAGAGCCCAGCAGCATATCTGCACATGTGCTGAGGGTTCTCATGCATGCACACAGACTCAGCAGGACTCCATTGTGTACCAGATAGCAGAAATTAGTGGCATCTGTGCACATGCATGAAAACCCTGGTTCTGGATACCTTGCATAGATTTCGCATGAGCTGGCTTTTTAAAAATAGTGACATGAGAGAGAGGCAAAACGGAAGTGAAGTTCCATTTTAAGATATTCATTAAAATAAACATTTTATTGCTTAAAGCCTAGGTCCAGGGGTCTTGTCACTTTAAAATAGTTTGTTTGTGCCAAGCTGGTCCAAATGCACTATTTCAATCACTAAGGTATTTGGTGGCTTTTAGCTCTTTATTATAGTAGTAACATCACCTACATACATTCATTGTTAAAAATACAAGGCTTCTTCTGATTGGCGGAGGGGGAGATAGTAACATCATCCATCCATCCCTCCACTTTGCAATCAGAGGAAGCCTTGTATTCACTGATAAAAAAACAAGGCTTCCTCTGACTTGATTCAATTCCGGTAGCAGATGAAATTATGTTTGTACAGCTGCCCAAAAAAAAAACGATTCAAAGTGACACAAAACCCAGGCTTCAACTTTAATTCTATATAATTTCATTAAAAGTATACAACGTAACTTTTGTGTTAATCATTTAAAATGTTCATTAAATCCGAAGCCAAAAATGTAATAAATTGCAGCTAACCAGTCATTAGATGTAGTGGCTGCATTAATTTTGTTTTTTAGGCTTTTTTTTCCTCCTCTGTTTTCACCTGGTGATCTGGCCAGTAACACATCTCCTATAGTAGAGAACCCCCACCCTGGATGAAGGAGCACATAGGGGCACCTTTGGACAGCAGCATTATCAGTTTGGGGGGAGGGGAGTGTTAGATGTACTAGCAAATTTAGATACACTAACAAATTGAAGCCAAACTCAAGCTAACACTATATAAGCAGTTACAACAAACCATTTTGTTTCTTTTGAGATAAAGATTTTACATAAACAAATAAAAATGGATCATTGTAAGCACCCCTGCCAGTGGTAAATAGTTTGTCTTGTGTAACTGCTACATCTGCAGGTCCCCTTGTTCTTGTGAAAAACAACAGACCTACTGGCCAAATTCCCAGGTGAAAATAAAGGAAAGAAAGCCTAAAAAAGAAAATTAATGCAGGCATTACATCTAAAAATTAGTAAGCTGCAATATAATAAATTATTTCTTTGGGTTTAATACTGCTATACAGTACAGTATAATAGCACAGTGCCATGTCCAATAATGTTAGGTAATCATGTCCCTTATGTAATATGTATTTTTGGAAAGCAATGATGATATGGATATAATTTGTATCTGAAAAGAATTAATGTCACAAATTATATCTATAAAACCATGGTATGGCTTCCTTTACATAATTAATACTGAATTAAACATGGCAGATTGCGTAACAGTTAATTATAAAATACGTGCATTGCTTCAAGTCTTCAAGTGAAAATGTGTGAGATATAAAAAGGAACAAATAAATACTGTATAAAATTTATTTATTTAAGGTGACAGGTTAAATACTTGCTTTTTAAAATGAATCAAATTATTCAGCATAATACCATGAATAAATAGGCAGTACAAAGTGCCATAGCAGAAGCAACATATAATACATTTTGCTGAAATTGTTTGAAAAGGGAATAAATTCAGAATGAACAAGCTGCATGGAATGTGATCCTGTAGAAGCTCACACACTACTGGCTTGGCTCTGTGAGATTTAGTTCTCTTCATGGATTAAAATAGGACTCTACAGCATTTTCTATTTCACTTCCTTGACTATGTTATCGTGGCCTAATGCCAATGACAAAAATAACAAGCTGTAAGCCTGGTGACTGAGGTGTGGAAATATGTGCAAACTGCATGAAAAGCACTGACGAGTGAATTATACATTTCTGCCTGTAATGTTAATGCTCTGCAATCTACGAAGAATGGTTTTATATGATTCCTACCTCTTATACAGGGGTAAGGACTCTCTTCCCACCTATGTGATAATTCTGGGTGTCCAAGTGACCAATCAACTGTCATATGGGTATAAGGGGATTGAGCCACATGCATCCCCATACTTAGAAGTAGGGGGTATGTCATTTGGCTAGTGGCAGCCAAACAGAGTGTGAGGGAAACAAAGGGTAGGTGAGTATGTGTTACTGCTGGGGAGCAGCATTAAAGAGAACCTGTTGATTTGTCTTGTATTGGCAAATAACCAGTTCACTTTAAGCTGATCATCTACATATAGCAGTATCAAAAAACATTAAAAGACTATTAGTTCTCTTTATAATGGGAGAACATGATTTTCAGAAGAAGAACATGAATAAGCAAGAGTTTATCAGTGATCAAATCTGTCACCAGTTGGACTGAATGCGTCCATAAACATTATAGAAATAAACCGGTCTTTCAGCATTCAGAGAAAAATTACCTGCTGGCATCCTCATACAGGTATGAATCAAGAGATTTCGGCAGAGATTCATCCTTTTTGTCTCTGACCTCCACCCTGTACAGAGAGAGCAATAATTGTGATTTTTTTTTTCCTTGTTTCATGCCTTTGTGGTTATCATGCAATGAGATACATCTAATGATAGAACTGGTTAGTAGGACATAAAGGTATATCATAGGTGAGAAATAAACTTAAGATAAGAATCGCCTGGACACATTCCAAAATGTCTACAGATACTGTACATTCCAGTCGAAAACTAAAGCAAATATTAAGCAACCTCTTATCAAATGGTTATGGAGCAGCCAGTTGTCAATTCATTTTGTGCTACCACTTCTATTTTTTGTTTAAGATGGAAACTAGTATTGCTGAACCCTTTGTCTCTTCTTCTGAAAACTGCTTGGAGCATGACATGAGAAATGAGAGTATGATGTTCTGAAATCCACTTTAGTTCAATGTTAAGTGCCCACAGACAGCGATGACCTTGGGATTGGCTACAGGTTCAGCCTAATGGAAGTCATATGCCAGTGCCGTTCCAATAGAGATGCTGTTGGGGCCATATTAAGGAAATGGTGTAAGGAGCATCTCTGTCCCTTTGCGTATGTGTCCCAGCCACAGCTGATTGACTCAGGCATTCTAGCTGCCTTCTGGGTTTAGCTGAATCCAAGCTGACAAATACACTAAATTTGTCAAGTGTTATTTTTTTTAACAGCTGCATTTTGCCTACATTCTCTTGTCTTCTAGAATTAATTAATCATTTTATGAGAACTGGTCCACTTTGTTACAAAAGGTATTTGCACTATATTGCCAAAACCATTGGAAACACCCATCCAAATCAGTGGATTCAGGTTTTCCAATCACCTCCATGGCTACAATTGCATAAAATCAAGCACCTAGGCATGCAGACTGCTTCTACAAACATTTGTGAAAGAATGGGTCGCTCTAAGGAGCTCAGGAAATTCAAGCATGGTACCGCGATAGGTTGCCACCTGTACAATAACTCCATTCATAACATTTTGTTGCTACTAAATATTCCACAGTCAACGGTTAGTGGTATTATAACAAAGTGGAAGCAACTGGGAACAACATCAACTCAGCCATGAAGTGGTAGGCTACATGAAATAACAGAGCGGGGTCAGCGCTTGCTGAAGCGCACAGTGGACAGAAGATGCCAGCTGTCTGCAGAGTTAATATCTAAAGACCTCCAAACTTCATGTGGCCTTCAGATTAGCACAACAAAGGTGCATAGAGAGCTTCCTGGAATGGGTTTCTTTTGCCGAGCAGCTGCATCCAAGCCTTACATCACCAAGTGCAATACAAAGTGTCGGATCCAGTGGTGTAAAGCATGCCACCACTGGACTCTAGAGCAGTGGAGACGTGTTCTCTGGAGTGACAAATAATGCTTCTCTGTCTGTCAATCTGATGGACATGTCTGGGTTTGGCAGTTGCCAAGAGAACGGTACGTGCCTGACTGCATTGTGCCAAGTGTAAAGTGTGGTGGAGGGGGGATTATGGTGTGGAGATGTTTTTCAGGGGTTGGGCTTGGCCCCTTAGTTCCAGTGAAGAGAACTCTTAAGGCATGAGAATACCGAAAAAAAATTGTGCATACTTTCATGCTCCCAACTTTGTAGGAACAGTTTGGGGATGGCCCCTTCCTGTTCCAACTTGACTGCACACCAGTGCACAAAACAAGGTCCATAAAGACATGGATGAGGAGTTTGGGGTGGAGGAACTTGACTGGCCTGCAGCCTGATAGACCACCTTTGGGATGAATTAGAGCGGATGCTGCGAGCCAGGCCTTCTTGTCCTACATCAGTGCCTGACCTCACAAATGCACTTCTGGAAGAATGGTCAAACATTCCCATAGATACTCTCCTAAACCTTGTGGATAGCCTTCTCAGAAGAGTTGAAGCTGTTATAGCTGCAAAAGGTGGGCCAACTCAATATTGAATCCTACTAAGACTGGGATGCATTAAAGTTCATGTGTGTGTAAAGACAGGCGTCCCAATACTTTTGGCAATATAGTGCATGTGGTAGTGCACAGTGTGCTCATATGGTGCAATAGCAGGTGTCCTCTTCAGGGTCACCTTCAGCACACTCAAGCCACATTTTCAAAACTGCATTGCATTTTGACCTGTTGATTTTAATTTTAAAATGTAAAAAGGAACCCATGGCAATTTTCCACTGAAAAAACAATATTTTCAATATACAGGTGAAACTCGAAAAATTAAAATATCGTGCAAAAGTTCATTTATTTCAGTAATGCAACTTAAAAGGTGAAACTAATATATGAGATAGACTCATTATATGCAAAGCAAGTTAGTTCAAGCTGTGATTTGTCATAATTGTGATGATTATGGCTTACAGCTCATGAAAACCCCAAATCCACAATCTCAGAAAATTAGAATATTACATGCAATCAATAAAACAAGGATTGTACATAGAACAATATCGGACCTCTGAAAAGTATAAGCATGCATATGTACTCAGTACTTGGTTTGGGCCCCTTTTGCAGCAGTTACTGCCTCAATGCCGCATGGCATGGAAGCTATCAGCCTGTGGCACTGCTGAGGTGTTATGGAAGACCAGGATGCTTCAATAGCGGCCTTCAGCTCGTCTGCATTGTTCGGTCTCATGTCTCTCATCTTTCTCATCTTTCTCTTGGTAATGCCCCATAGATTTTCTATGGGGTTCAGGTCAGGCGAGTTTGGTGGCCAAAAAGCACAGTATTCCCACGGTCATTGAACCAGGTTTTGGTGCTTTTGGCAGTGTGGGCAGGTGCCAAGTCCTGCTGGAAAATGAAGTCAGCATCCCCATAAAGCTAGTCTGCGGAAGGAAGCATGAAGTGCTCCAAAATCTCCTCGTAGATGGCTGCGTTGACCCTGGACTTAATGAAGCACAGTGGACGAACACCAGCAGATGACATGGCTCCCCAAATCAAGACAGACTGTGGAAACTTCACACTGGATTTCAAGCATCTTGCAGAGTGTGCCTCTCCATTCTTCCTCCATAATCTGGGTCCTTGGTTTCCAAATGAGATGCAAATGTTGCTCTCATCAGAAAGGAGGACTTTGGACCACTGAGCAACAAGACCAGGTCTGTTTTTCTTTAGCCCAGGTAAGACACTTCTGACATTGTTTGTTGTTCAGGAGCGGCTTGACAAGAGGAATACGACATTTGAAGCCCATGTCCAGGATCCATCTGTGTGTGGTGGCTCTTGATGCACTGACTCCAGCCTCAGTCCACTCCTTGTGAAAGTCCCCAACACTTTTGAATGGCCTTTTCCTGACAATCCTCTCCAGGCTGAGGTCATCCCTGCTGCTTGTGAACCTTGCAGGTGTTATGGCTTAATTAGCTGATTAGAGTGGGACACTTTGAGCCTAGAATATTGCACCTTTTCACAATATGCTAATTATCTGAGATTGTGGATTTGGGGTTTTCATGAGCTGTAAGCCATAATCATCACAATTATGACAAATCACGGCTTGAACTATCTTGCTTTGCATGTAATGAGTCTATCTCATATATTAGTTTCACCTTTTAAGTTGCATTACTGAAATAAATGAACTTCTGCACGATATTCTAATTTTTCAAGTTTCACCTGTAAGTAGATGCCAGAAAGTTGAATCTAATTCTGACCTCTTTTGTTACTTAAGCACTTAAGCAATATAAAACAAGGCAAATAAATTTCACTTACTCTACTGATTAGTTTGCAATTTGCAAAAGTTGAACACCAATATAGAATATACTTACCTTTTCAGCAGCATATGTAATGAAAAGTCACTGCATCTCTGTTGCAAATATTAGGATATTATTGGATAAGTCCAAATCTTGCTACCCCGCTGGTCACTGTGGTTCCTTCTGCTGACATGCACATCCTATATTGATGTAAGAGCTGGTGGGAGAAACCACAGTGGCTGGTGGGAAGAATTCTACATACTTAGAAGTGTAGAATACATGCAACAGCTAAAAGTAAAGAAGCTATGGCTTTTCACTACACAGTTCGCAGGAAAGTGTATTCATGTGTCTTTTTCAGTGGCGTATTGATTAATAGTGACCCTATGATGATATATATTTAGGATTACTTTCAATGATTAGATATAGTATCAGCATTTAGATGAAGGTTAGGGTACAACCTTCAAGCATGCAGAGGTGAGCGTAATAATACAAACCGTGCAGGTGATGTCTGCAGAGTTGGTTGTACATTTTGATTTGTTTTCCAATTATTTTCAAACCTGTAATATAGATATGCAACATAAGTATAATTTAAGGTACTTTAAGAAAGGAACAAGAGTATATAAATTAGGAGAAAAAATACTGTAAAATAATATATCACAAACGTGAAAAGTGTTAAGAATATAAAAGGTTCACATTTAGTACTTCTACCACAAGACCTGGGTCTCTAGAAGCCATATTCCTAACTACATAAAATATTTATACATGGAAACCTTTCATTTGGTTAATTGTACAAAATGTTATAAAAAGCATATGGTTGCTGTTAAAAATGGTTAAAGGATAAGGTCACATTTTTTACCTGCACAAAAACGTGCATTTATTATTTTTTACTAAAAGGTGCATTTATTATTTTTTAATAAAAGGTGCATTTATTATTTTTGTCTGCAGGAGCCTGGAATGCATTGCACCAGCAATCAGCAAAATGCTGGTGCCATGCTGGTCTCCTTCAGATCTGTCAGTATATCTGCCTGCCTGTATGGGATATATGAGCAAGCATATACAGTTGTGTTCAAAATAATAACAGTGTGTTGAAAAAAATTAATAAAGCTCAAAATCCTTCTAAAATCTTTTATTTCCATACACATAAATGCATTGGGAACACTACACATTCTATTCCAAATCAAAACATGAAGAAAAATATATCAAATTTGTGTTGTTCCTCTAAAACAATTGAAGAAAAGTGAATATTAGACTGTTCAAAAAAATATCAGTGTTTGTATTCTTCTTTACAAACTCAAACATTCACTATATAAACTGAAAAATGTTTGAAGATTTTGCTTTCCTTTGAATCCCTTAATATTTCGTTGTATAAGCACTGTTTCTGAGAACTGCTGTATATCTGTGTTGCATGGAGTCAACCAACTTCTGGCACCTGTGAACAGGTATTCCAGCCCAGGATGATTGGACATTCCACAGTTCTTCTCTATTTCTTGGTTTTGCCTCAGAAACTGCATTTTTGATGTCACCCCACAAGTTTTCTATTGGATTAAGATCTGGGGATTGGGCTGGCCACTCCATAACGTCAATCTTGTTGGTCTGGAACCAAGATGTTGCACGTTTACTGGTATGTTTGGGGTCGTTGTCTTGTTGGAACACCCATTTCAAAAGCATTTCCTCTTCAGCATAAGGCAGCATGACCTCTTCAAGTATTCTGATGTATTCAAACTGATCCATGATCCCTGGTATGCGATAAATAGGCCCAACACCGTAGTATGAGAAACATCCCCATATCATGATGCTTGCGCAACCATGCTTCACTGTCTTCACAGTGTACTGTGGCTTGAATTCAGTGTTTGGGGGTCGTCTGACAAACTGTCTCCGGCCACTAGACCCAAAAAGAACAATCTTACTTTCATCATCGTCCACAAAATGTTGCGCCATTTCTATTTAGGCCAGTCAATGTGCTCTTTGGCAAATTGTAACCTCTTCAGCACGTCTTTTTTTCAACAGTGGGACTTTGCGGGGGCTTCTTGCAGATAGCTTGGCTTCACATAGGCGTCTTCTAATTATAACAGTACTCACAGGTAACTTTAGACCTTCTTTGATCTTCCTGGAGCTGATTGTTGCCATTTTGGCTATTCTTCTTTCCATTCGAATGGTAGTTTTTCGCTTTCTTCCACGTCTTTCAGGTTTTGGTTGCCATTTTAAAGCATTTGCGATCATTTTAGCTGAGCGGCCTATCATTTTCTGCACTTCTTTATATGTTTTCCCCTCTCCAATCAACTTTTTAATCAAGGTACGCTGTTCTTCTGAACAATGTCTGGAACGACCCATTTTCCTCAGAATTTCAGAGAGAAATGCGCTGTAACCAGCATGTACAACGTTTGCTCCCTTCCTTCCTTAAATAAGGGCAATAATTGGCACCTGTTTTTCAAAGAATGAATGACCTCACTAATAGAACTCCACACTGCTATTATTTTGAACATGCCCCTTTCAATTAGTGATTCAATTACACAGAATCAGCAGCATGGATGTCATGACTGTTGGGTCTGTTGGATTTCTATTACTCTACTACACCTGCTAGTAAATTATTTGCCATGTAGAAATATCATTTCTACCAAAAACAGTGATTGATCAGGTTAGTGATGTCTGACCGCTATTATTTTGAACACAACTGTATATTGACAGGA